ATTGACAGATTGCAAAAAATTTCTCCCATTACATAGGTTGTCTGTTTACTCAAATGACAGTTTCTTTTACTGTGCAGATGTTCTTTAGTTTAATTAGGTCTCATATGTCAATTTTTGCTTTGGTTGCAATTGCTTTTGATGTTTTTGCCATGAAATCTTTTCCCATGCCTATGTACTGAATGGTATTGCCTAGATTTTCTTCTAGGGTTTTTTGTTTGTTTGTTTGTTTTGTTTTTTTTTAAGTTTTCGCTATTGTAAATAGTGCTGCAATAAACATACGTGTGCATGTGTCTTTATAGTAGAATGATTTATAATCCTTTGGGTATATACCCAGTAATGGGATTGCTGGATCAAACGGTACTTCTGATTTTAGATCTTTGAGGAATCACCACACTGTCTTCCACAGCAGTTGAATTAATTTATACTCCTACCAACAGTGTAAAAGCATTCCTACTTCTCCACATCCTCCCCAGCACCTAGGGTTTTTATAGTTTTGGGTTTTACATTTAACTCTTTAATCCATCTTGAGTTAGTTTTTGGATAAGGTGTAAGGAAGGGTCCAGTTTTCAGTTTTCTCATATGGCTAGCCAGTTCTCTCATTTCTTGAAGAGGAAATCCTCTCCCCATTGTTTTTGTCAGGTTTGTTGAAGATCAAATGGTTGTAGATGTCTGGTCTTATTTCTGAGATCTCTATTCTGTTCCATTGTCTATGTGTCATTTTTTGGTACAAGTACCATTCTGTTTTGGTTACTGTAGCCTTGCAGTACAGTTTGAAGTCACGTAGCATGATGCCTCTAGCCTTTTCCTTTTTGCGTAGGATTGTCTTGGCTGTCCAGGTTCTTTTTGGTTCCATATAAATTTTAAAGTAGTTTTTTTTTTTCTAATTCTGTGAAGAATGTCAATGGTAGCTCAATGGGAACAGCATTGAATCTATAAATTTTACTTTGAGCAGTATGGCCATTTTCATGATATTGATTCTTCCTACCATGAGCATGGAATGTTTTTCCATTTGTTTGTGTCCCCTCTTATTTCCTTGACCAGTGGTTTGTGGTTCTCCTTGAAAAGGTCCTCCACATGCCTTGCTAGCTGTATTCCTAGGTATTTTAATCTCTTTGTAGTGATTGTGAATGGGAGTTCATTCATGATTTGCTCTCTGCTTGTCTACTTTTAGTGTATATGAATGCTTGTAATTTTTGCACATCGATTTTGTATCCTAAGACTTTGCTGAAGTTGCTTATCAGCTTAAGGAGCTTTTGGGCTGAGACAATATAGGATTATGTCATCTGCAAACAGTCAATTTCACTTCCTCTCTTCCTATTTAAATATCATTTATTTATCTTGCCTGCTTGCCCTGACCAGAACTTTCAATACTATGCTGAATAGGAGTGATGAGAGAGAGCATTCTTTTCTTATGCTGGTTTTCAAAGGGAATGCTTCCAGCTTTTACGCATTCAGTATGATATTAGCTCTGGGTTTGTCAGAAATGGCTCTTATTATTTTGAGATATGTTCCATCAATACACAGTTCATTGAGAGTTATTAACATGAAGGGATGTTGAATTTTATAAAAGGCCTTTCCTGCATCTATTGAGATAATCATGTGGTTTTTGTCATCAGTTCTGTTTACATGATGGATTACATTTATTGATTTGCATATGTTGAACCAGCATTGCATCCCAGGGATGAAGCTGACTTGATTGTGGTGGATAAGCTTTTTTATGTGCTGCTGGATTTGGTTTGCCAGTATTTTACTGAGGATCTTCTCATCGATGTTCATCAGGGATATTGGTCTGAAGTTTTCTTTTGTTATGTCTCTGCCAGGTTTTTGTATTGAGATAATGCTGGCCTCATAAAATGAGTTAGGGAGCTGGTACCATTCCTTCTGAAACTATTCCAAAGTGCCATTCCTTCTGAAACTATCTTTTTTTTTTTTTTTTTGGAATTTGGAGTGGTGAGAGAGGGCATCCTTGTCTTATGCTGGTTTTCAAAGAGAATGCTTCCAGCTTTTGCCCATTCAGTATGATGTTAGCTTTGGGTTTGTCAGAAATGGTTCTTATTATTTTGAGATATGTTTCATGAATACATAGTTTATTAAGAGTTTTTAACATGAAGGTCTACTTTTTTGGAATAGTTTCAGAAGGAATGGTACCAGCTCCTCTTTGTACCTCTAGTAGAATTTAGCTGTAAATCCATCTGGTAATAGGCTTTCTTTTCAGTTGATAGGCTATTTATTACTGCCTCCACTTCAGAATATGTTATTGGTCTATTCAGGGATTCTACTTCTTTCTGGTTTAGTCTTGGGAGGGTGTATGTGTCCAGAAACTTATCCATTACATCTAGATATTTTAGTTTATATGCATAGAGGTGTTTATAGAATTCTCTGATGGTTGTTTGAATTTCTGTGGGGTCAGTGGTGATATCCCCTTTATCATTTTTTATTGTGTCTATTTGATTCTCCTCTCTTTTCTTCTTTGTTAGTCTAGCTAGCGGTCTATTTTATTAAATTTTTTCAAAAAACCAGCTCCTAGATTCATTGATTTTTGAAGGTTTTGTTGTGTCTCTATATCCTTTAGTTTCCTCTGATTTTAGTTGTTTCATGTCTTCTGCTAGCTTTTGGATTTGTTTGCTATTGCTTCTCTAGATCTTTTAGTTGTGATGTTAGAATGTCGATTTGAGATATTTCCAGCTTTCTAATGTGCACATTTAGTGCTATAAATTTCCCTCTAACCACTGCTTTAGCTGCATTCCAGAGATTCTGGAATGTTGTCTTTGTTCTCATTGGTTTCAAAGACACATAACCATCAGTTTCTCCAAGGTTGAAATGAAGGAAAAAATGTTAAAGGCAGCCACAGAGAAAGGCCAGGTGACCTACAAAAGGAAGCTCATCAGACTAACAGTCGACCTCTCAGCAGAAACCCTATAGGCCAGAAGAGAGGGGGGCCAATATTCAACATTCCTAAAGAAAAGAATTTCCAACCCAGAATTTCATATCTGGCCAAACTAAGCTCATAAGTGAAGGAGAAGTAAAATCTTTTTCCGACAAGCAAATATTGAGGGAATTCATAACCACCAGGCCTGTCTTGCAAGAGCTCCTGAAGGAAACACTAAATATGGAACGGAAAAAACGCTACCAGCCACAACAAAAACATACTGAAGTACAAAGACCAAGGACACTATGAAGAAACTGCATCAACTAATCTGCATAATAATCAGTTAGCACCATGATGGTAGGATCAAATTCACACATAAAAATAGTAAACTTAAATGTAAATGGACTAGATGCCCCAATTAAAAGACACAGACTGGCAAACTGGATAGAGTCAAGACCTATCAGTGTGCTGTTCAAGAGACCCATCTCACCTGCAAAGACAAGGCTCAAAATAAAGGGATGGAGGAAAATTTACCAAGAAAATGGAAAACAGAAGAAAGCAGGGGTTGCAATCCTAGTTTCTGACAAAACAGACTTTAAACCAACAAAGATAAAAAAAGAAAAAAAAAAAAAAAAAAGGGCAAAGAAGGGCATTACCTAATGGTAAAGGGATCAACTCGACAAGAGGAACTAAGAATTTTAAATATACATGCACCCAATACAGGAGCACCCAGATTAACAAAACTAGTTTTTAGAGACCTACACGGAGACTTAGACTCCCACACAGTAATAGTGGGAGACTTTAACAGCCCAATGTCAATATTAGACAGATCATCGAGACAGACAATTAACAAAGATACTCAGGACTTCAACTCAGTTCTGGATCAGGTAGACCTGATAGATGTCTACATAACTCTCCACCCCAAATCAACAGAATATACATTCTTCTCAGTGCCACATGGCACTGCCTCTAAAACTGACCACAAAATTGGAAGCAAAACACTCCTCAGCAAATGAAAAAAAACTGAAATCATAACAGTCTCTCAGACCACAGTGGAATCAAATTAGAACTCAAGATTAAGAAACTAACTCAAACCCACACAATTACATGGAAATTAAACCACCTGCTCCCGAAAGACTCCTGGGTAAATAAATAAATTAAGGCAGAAATCAAGAAGTTCTTTGAAACTAATGAGAACAATGTAATCTGATGGAAGCAAAATCATCATAATATCCCCTGTGGCCAGCTTAAAAACTTAAAGCATAAAAAGTATTCAGCAATTTAATGAATTGAATTCAACATAGATATAATCCATATTTGTAAAAATAATTTTTTTTTTTTTTTTTGCTATTCAACGTAAAAATTTTGGAAAGGATAATTTACCCAAACCCTGCCCACGTGCACACACACTGAACATACATTTTTGCTCCTATCATCTGGAGGCTATGAAAATATTGACATGATAGTACCAGATCAAAAAAAGAGGAGATCACTGTTGACAACCTACTTCAATCACAGCAAAACTCTGTTGTCTTGGCCAATTGACTGTTTGAAGGAAAAAAGCAATCACCTTCCAATAAAGATGTGCCAAAATTTCTAAATTGTGATGAGCAGACTCCTGCCAGCACATTTAGAGTGAGTTAGGGAGGGTTAAATTGGAAGATAGGTGGCTGTGTGCACATTAAGCCAGAGAGTCAGATTAAAGATGTGGTCTCTAACTTGAGAGGTGAGGAGGTGCTGGGGAAAGAATAAAAATGTTGTGGTTCTTGGGATTAGGATTGATATACACACAAATGACTTTAAAACATAAGATAGCCAGTGGTTTAGGCAACAATCTAAAGACTAATTAATAACAAAATGTTGGCTAGGAAAGATGATTCATGTCTGTAATCCCAGCACTTTGGGAAGCCAAGGAAGGAGGATCATTTGAGGTCAGGATTTCAAAATCAGCCTGAGTGACAGGGCAAGACCCCATCTCTAAAATAAAATAAAACAAAATAAAATAAAATAAAATAAAATAAAATAAAAGTAGCTGGGCATGGTGGCTGTACCTGTAGTCCTTGTTGCTTGGAAGGCTGAGACAGGAGGAACCCTTGAGCCCAGGAGTTGGGGGTTGCAGTGAGCTATGATCACTCCAAAGCACTCCAGCCTAGGTGACAGAGACCCCATCTCTTAAAAAAAAAAATAAAGAAACTGTGTATAGAGACCATATAGAGACTTTTAAAACCCAAATAACCTCCCCACATGGCAAAAACTACCTTTTAAGGAATATGACCCAAACTAATTTTTTTCTGCAAATGTTTCTGTTGCTCATGTCAAGTGGTTGAATGAAATCAAAGCTGCTATAACAACAGCTGGGGGGAAAAGAATGCTGCATATATGAAGAAATCTAGACTGCAAAATGCAGAGGATTCTAAGCTAAATGACAAGATGATCCAGTAACATTCTTTTTGGGAAGTATAAATGCTTGGTAAATACAAAGGTTTGGGGGTCACTCTAGCTAGAATTCATTATGAACTATACTTAACTAATCCTCTAGTTGTTCATGGAATCTGCTATACTTCCCAGTGGTGGAAGTTCTGAAGCCCAGAGGAATTCAAATGCAGAAGCACTCACGTGCAGTTGGTTGTGATACAAGCAGGATAAGGGTGGAGAGGACAGCATCTTCACTCAATACATGTCTAGCACTCAATAATTCATTTAATAATGTTTTTTATCTGTGATCTCTTGGGACCTAGATTATATGCCTACAAAAGGTAAAGTTTTTTGAGATACATAACATTTGTAGTTTTTAAGTAAAATATAAAGAAAAGCTGAAATCCCTATGTGAACCCCTTGTGAGAAACATATTGGATTTTAAAACTTCAAGAAACATACTTTTTACTGAACTAGTCATTGTGTCCAAAAGTAGAGGGTTAACAAAAGACCCAGAACAGCCAAAGCCATCTTGATCAAAAAGAACAAAACTGGAGGAATCACATTACCTGACTTCAAATTATACTACAGAACTATAGTAACCAAAACAGCACGGTACTGGAATAAAAACAGAAACATAGAATGATAGAACAGAAATAATCCATACATCTACAGTGAACTCATTTTCAATAAAGATGCTAAGAATATACATTGGAGGAAAGACGGTCTCTTCAATAAATGGTGCTGGGAAAACTGGATATCCATGTGCAGAAGAATAAACCTAGATCCCTATCTCTCACCATATACAAAAATCAAAACAGCTTAAATATAAGACCTCAAATTATGAAACTACTAAAAGAAAACATTGGGGAATTCTCTAGGACAAGGGGTCTCCAATCCCCGGGTCATGAACCAGTACCAGTCTGTGGTCTGTTAGGAATCAGGCTGCACACCAGGAGATGAATGGTAGGTGAGCTAGCCTTATCTGCTGAGCTCTGCAGTGGCTTGAGATTCTCACAGGGGCATGAACCCTATTGTGAACTGTGCATGCGAGGGATCTAAGTTGTGTGCTCCTTATGAGAATCTAATGCCTGATGATTTGAGGTGGAGCAGTTTCATCCACCACCACCCTGTCCATGGGAAAACTGTCCCAGATAAGAACTGAGCGATCTACTCTGACCATAAAGGTGGTGCAGAATCTGAGGAGGAAGAGGCTGTGGGCTCACCTTCTCTTCCCGTCCTGTCCACCCTCCACCATGCTCAATAACCCTTTGTGACTGTTCCATAGCTCTGGAATGCTGGACTGGGGCTCCAGACTAAAGTGTACATTCTCTGTGCCCAGTTGCTGAGACAGCAGCATGCTTGAGATGATGGAGAAGTGTAGCTGTTTTCTCCTGCATATAAGTGAGGCCTGGAGAATTAGTTCTCTCTTTTCTATTTTTGTATGGAATTGCTATCTTCTTTCTGTCATGTTCCTGAATTCAGTGGAATCCATAACTACCACTGTTCGTAGAAAGCAGAGACATCAATTAGGCATGGTAAAGAAAAGCACCCGAATATCACTTTCCATTATTCTGAATTAAATATCGGAAAAGAGATACACCAGGAATGAGAGTACTGGGAAAAGATGAGAACATCATTAGTCTTAGAGAACAGGGTAGGCAGGTCAGGGGAGAGAACAGAGCCTAGGGCTTCTAACTAAAGGTCACAAATAATTTATCTGAGGGTGAGAGAGGTCTTCAGAGTAAAATCCCAAACACTGTGATTCAGGGTTATGAATTGGCTGATGAAGGGAGTTCAGCACACTCAAACAGGACAGCCCTTCAATATCGTTTCATCAGCCACTTCCCCATCCCATCTCAGGTGACCCTGGGGACAAATTTCTCTCTTGTATAGAGCCAACATGGAAAGCAATGGCGAGCCCCTGAAAAACTTTGATCTGATATGTTCGCATAGATAGATATAGATAAACATAGATATAGATAGGTAAATATAGATTAGATATCAGGTTAATAATAGCTATTTAGATAGTGTGTATGTATATACACACACACACACACATATATATATATATAGAGAGAGAGAGAGAGAGGCTTGGATCCCACTAGTCTTTGAAAATCTTAAGATATCCCAGGAATTTTCTGTAGCACAATTATATTGTAAAAAGCAACTCATTTTTGAAAGCATAACACACAGAATGAAAGTATACATGTCTTACACACACAGTGACATGGTTCCTCACATACTGAATATATGTGAAAGTAGCAGCATGTCAGAAACAGTTTACTCAGGACTTAGAAGCCTCTCTAGTGCTCTGTGCCAGTCAGTACCTAAGAAAGACCAACCCTTCTGCCTCTGCCCTGCGAGTAGACATTATCACTTCTAACAGCATGATTATTTTTGCTCGATATGGTTTCATCCATTTCATGTGTATTTATTGATCTGATTGTTACAATAATCCTATGAAATCAATACTAGTATTCTTCCCATATTACAGATGAGGAAACTAGGGAGCATAATGTTCATGGTACTTGCCATGGTCATATTGCTATTAAATAGCTGAGCTAGAATCCAAACCAGGAACTCTGGTTCTAAAGTCAAACCCTTTAGTCACTAAATTGTGCTGTCTAAAATATCATGGCAAGCTCGATCAACAGTCTGAATCAATACAATTAGATGTGTTTAGAGAAATAACCACTAACTACCACACAGCACTTTGTAGATTGTTCTGCACATACCCTTTGACTTCCTCCTACTTACGGCTCAGACCCTGTGAGCAGGCGTCAACCTCTGAGTGAAAAAGACTTGCCCAAAAGCACCACTAAAAAGGAGAAGATTTGAGCTGAGAACAGATTGGGGTCTATTATTTTCTTCACCATTTCACAAAGGACAGGAGACAACAGACCAAGAGGATTTCATGAGTAATCCTTTTCTCCAGTGAGGCCAGCTAGGCACTCTGGACATGGTTGGTGCTAAACTTGTAAGTCCTAGTCAGGCCCTGTCTCTTGACTGAAGATTTATATGTTACTCAACCCCTCAGAATCCTTGGGGTACCCAAGTTCTTCACTGCACTTATGCAGGTGACAGGAGGTCTATCTGTGACCCAGACAGATGCTGTAGGAAGATAAGGCAATAATGAGGAAATGAGTGAAGTACAGAGTGAGTAAGGCAGACGCTGTGAGTTTGGGTCTCCACCAGGGTAACTTGTGAAGAAGAGAAAGCAAGAAGAGAAAGAAAGAACCTAACCTTGGGGAAACATGATATCCACTGAGTACATGAAGTTTTCCATCAGCACACCTAGACTCAAATCCTATCTCTGCCAATCACTTGTGCACTCTACGTGGGTCACCTCTTCTCTCAGCGTCCTGCTTTCTTCATTGATAAAGTAAGCTTAATAGTATTACTATTCACACTGTAACAGGTGGATTAAATCATGTAACATATTATTTGTTTTATAGATGGCACATACGTATTTTACAGATAGCACATAATCAACAGATTTTTTCTTTCTTTCCCTGTTCTTTCTTAACACTGATGAAAGAAAAGGAAAACAATGTTTTCTTTTAATGCCTTCTTAGTATTGAGTGCTCTCATCAATTCTGCACTCATGACAAACAACAAAGTCTAACTTAGATACATTAAACACAGAGAAAAGAACACTGAACATACAGGCAGAACCAGCTATGAATCCTATCTCTGCCCCTCACCATTCACTAAATGGACGTCTTAAAGACATCACTTACCAATTCTGATCTGCAGATCACTCCTCATATCATCTCTGCTAAGAGAGAAAATTATAAAATGCTACCAAAGTATGAGTGAGTTTTATGACTAGGTAGTAAAGAATAGGAAACCAGTGAATCAATAAACTCACAATGTGTGGTTTGCAGACATTATCTGCATGGCAGCTGAATATACTTCCCTAGAAGTATCCCCATCTGGTCAGAGATGGCCTTTACTGCCATGGCCATCCTTGAATAGTCTTACTTAGGTTTCAGTATTTTTGCAGAACTAGCATCCCTGGTGTACGAAAAATGTGATAAATGAGCTCTCTGTGCAGTCATCTACACCCTCTCTGAAGAGCATCTGGATTTTATTTATCCACATTAATAAAGAGAGCCCATTTGTTTGATGGAAAGAAGTAGGATTTCAAACTCATTTTCCTTAAGTTTTGCATGGTCTCAATCATCTGGCAATAGGAGAAATGTAAAGGAAAATAACAGTTATGTGTAAACAAAATTGACAAAGTTGCATCATAGGGAATATAGCTAACATCTGCATAAAAGGTTTATATATACTTTTAAGAGGGGCGTATAAAACCATAATTCGTAAGAATAATAAAAGGTACAATTAATGCCATAAAATGAAACCTAAATAGAATTAAGAACAGCAAGTGAAGCAAATGGAAAAACACCCTAGTACTCAAAAACTATTAAACAATTATTCTTGAAATTTTAGCTTATTAAATAAGCAGTTAGACAATATACCCGATTAAAGTATTAATTTTATATGCTTTGTGCCACTATATCCATTTCCTGAAGTCAATCCTAGTTTGTAAAAAGGTTACAAAATTATATCCAATAATACAAACACACATTTTTCTCCAGGTACTACCTTCTTTCTCTTCTTCCATTCACAGATAAACTTCTAAAAGAAGTTTCCATCCACTTTGTCTCCAACCTCTCCTCCTATTTACTCTAGTCAATATATTCCAATCTGGATTTTGACAAATTAATTCTGGCAAGCCAGCCCTTTCTTTTCCTAAATGTAAAACGTCATGTTTTAAACACGTTTCTTCCCTTAAACACCCTCTTATCACAATTTTCTCCTGGTTGTCCTATTTTGCTCCTGGATGTCCTCCTATCATTTCATTGAAATGCCCTTTTCAGGTTCCTCACTCTGTTCACTACATTAAGATGTAAAGGTCCTCAAGATTCAGGTTTTGGTCTTCCGATTCACTACACAATTTCTGCCAGACCTCATCCATCCTCGGGCTTTCAGGAAAAAAGTATAGCCCAGCTCCCAAATGAACATCTCTAGCCATGCACTCTGTAAATTCCAGAACTGTGCATCCAATTTTCAAGGCTTAAAATCCTCCAGTTTCTAGTGATAAAAACCACTTTACTTTTGCCTATGGTGTCAGTTTATAATACAGTTGAAATTAATTGGTTGATTAATAATTTTCTTTCTCTCTCAGCAAAAAGTTTCAAGAGGGCTGAAGCTGTGTTTCCTTTATTCACTTTTCTATCCTGAAAACAGTCACATATCAAGTGTTTCATACAGTGTGAATGGAATGAATGAACTGAACTTCACTTGAGGTTGCAAAACCAAACTTGGCATTGATTTATTGAGTAAGGCCAGGTATGGTGGCTTATGCCAGTAATCCCAGCAGTATGGGAGGCTGAGATGGGAGGATTGCTTGAGGCTAGGAGTTCGAGGCTGTAGTGAGCTATGATCCTGCCACTGCACTCCAGCTTAGGTGACACAGCAAGACCTTGTGTGTGTGTGTGTGTGTGTGTGTGTGTGTTTTTAACAAACAAATGCAAAAAGATCTGAAAGTAAAACTTGAAATAATAAAGAGAATAATTTTCAAAATATAAAGTGAGGGGCTGGGTGTGGTGGCTCACGCCTGAAATCTCAGCACTTTGGGAGGCTGAGGTGGGCGGATCATGAGGTGAGGAGTTTGAGAGCAGCCTGGCCAGCATGGTGAAACTCCATCTCCACTAAAAATACAAAAAATTAGCCAAGCATGGTGGCGCACACCTGTAGTCCCAGTTACTCAGGAGGCTAAGGCGGGAGAACTGCTTGAACCTGGGAGGTGGAAGTTGCAGTAAGCCGAGATGGCACGACTGTACTCCAGCCTGGGTGACAGAGCAAGACTCCATCAAAACAAAACAAAACAAATAAACAAACAAAAATATATAAACTGAACACTTTTTAATGTAATTAGCACAGTGTTAAAGGTGAACATTTCATATAAGCAAAAATACTGAATACAATAAATGTAGTAGACTCAATAACTAAGTACATAGGTAAATTAATAATATCATCCATGGTGAGCTAATGCCCCTAAGAACTGGATGCTTTATCATATAGTTGCTTGACATTACCAACAAGTATTGTGACAAATTTGATTCAATCATTTCATTATGCAGGCAGAAAAGATAGTCTTTTAAAATAACTAAACATATGGGAATACAATGAAGAGTGTCTATACAGTAATAATTTCATTAAGACACAAGTCTGTTCCTAAGCTATTAATCTTACTTGCAAGTTTGATGAAAAACAGAAGGATCTCATGATTTCTTGCTCCAACTTCCCATTGCTCCAACTTCCCAGGTACAGAGGCTCTATTCTTTCTTTTCCAGATAGAGACTGATTCCTTGGAAGTAGCTCTTCACAGCATTATGGAGTTGTCATGCCCCAAGAGAGCCCTTCCACCCCTAACTCATGCAGCCAGTAGGGCTCCAGGACTTTCCAATGCTGATAAAATTTCAGTGAATAATTTCTCCAGGCCAGTTTCATTCCAACCAACCTCTTGTGTTGAATAGGTTGACAATCTGCTGGAACACCTTGTGGAGGACAGTGGTAGTCTAAGCCTTCTGAATTTTGCTGCCATCCATTGGAAACAATAGAAAACATTCAAAACAGATGAACTGTCCATCAATCGGGCACTGGTTAAATAACGTATAACAACTCTGAGGGCAACAATAGAATTGTTTAAAAATATAAATAAGCTCTCTATAGTAATTCAGGAAGATCTTGAAGTGAAAAAAGAAAAATGCAGAACAGTGTACATGGTATGCTATCTTTTACATAAAAATGAGGAGAGTGTAATAAAAACACGACTATTCTTACTTTGAACACGCATAAAGAACTAGAAGGACTTAAAAGACATAAACTTCAAAATTTGGAAAATGGAAGAAATTGTGTCAAAGTATACATTGATTTGTATGTCAAAATTTAAATTTACCACTAATTAAAGAAATGTAAGTTAATAAAATACTCATAAAGGGAAAAGTCAGCAGAAGGGAAAGGCACAAACATTGCTCATGATAATATTTTGGAAATACTGTCTTGGATCAGCATTTTACTAAATATTATCCATACCAGGGCTAAAATTTTGCTACCAGATTCTGTAAATTTACTACAGATTCTATAAAACAAAGGAGGATAAGAAGGTACATATTCAGGAACAAACAATGGGCAAAGGAAACTATAGTATGTTATTGAAAAATTATGTAGCCATTTTTAAAACTGTGGAAAACAAAGGCATTTCAAGCCAAAAATTTAGACTATATCATTTATATAATAAAGTAACAATCTAGTAGAGACAAATATTTTGCCTTTGAAATTATAACAAATTTGAAAATACGAACCAAAATTGTAACTAAGGTATCTATTACATAATGTGGGATAACAATTATTGTTTTGTAGAGGAAAAAAAATTAAGCATCCAGGTTTCCTCTCAATTTATACAAAAGCCGCGTTTCACTGTTATTCAAAAAAACAGAAGCTAGGAAGTGCAAAGTTTTAAAAAATTTATGCATTTGGGGAACGTAAGAGCTCAGATATGTGAAAAACTTACATCAAACGTGCAGCATAATATACGTGCACACATTCTGTCCTATTTTGTCCCACATACAAGGCAGATCTAAGGAGCCGGGCTGGCGCCCACCCCAGACAGCTCCTCTTCCTCAACCCCCGCCCTCCCCGCCTCCCGCACACTTCCTCCCGCTTCCCCACCCCCACACGCCCGCCCACTGACGAGCTCTGGAGGCCGCGCAGCCGCAGTAGCCGCTACGGCCGCTCCCACCCCGCGGGATCCTGGGAGTACGCTTTTCCGGAAAGAGCGGCTCGGCGTCGGGGCTAGGCCGGTATTCTAGGCCCAAGCCCAGTCCCAGGCCTGTGTTCCAGGTCCTTGCTCAAAGACAGGTCGCTGGCCGCTGCGACACTCTAGGTACAGCGGAGGGCGCAGCGGGCCGTTGGCTGAGGTGCCCGGACCCGCCGCCGAGCGGGCCGTGGAGCCACAGTACGTGGCGGCGCCTCTTCGTTGCCCGAAGCGGAACTGCTGAAGGAGCGGCAGCGCAGGCCGGACGAGGTGAACCGGGTCATTTAACCGCCTTCAGGTGATGAATCATCTGTCTAATAATCAGATTTGAGGTCCACAGCCCTTTGTGGTCCTGCTACAGGGCGATTTTCAGTGGATGACTGACTGGTGTGGCCTGAGGGGTCCCGCAGTGGCTGCCTTCCCTTGATAAGGAAACGAGCTTTCTGTTCTTTGTGGACACCTCGTTGCCTGTAAAACATTCCGGTTATAACTTCTTTCTCCGGCTTGCATCTCTGTGCAAGAGGAAAGCTTTCACATGAAAGTGTCCCTTGGTAACGGCGAAATGGGCGTCTCTGCCCATTTGCAGCCTTGTAAGGCAGGAACCACACGCTTTTTTACCAGCAATACACACAGTTCGGTGGTACTGCAAGGCTTTGATCAGCTTAGAATAGAAGGATTGCTTTGTGATGTGACTCTGGTACCAGGTGATGGAGATGAAATCTTCCCTGTTCACAGAGCTATGATGGCGTCTGCTAGTGATTATTTCAAAGCTATGTTCACAGGTGGAATGAAAGAACAAGATCTGATGTGCATTAAGCTTCATGGGGTGAACAAGGTTGGTCTGAAGAAAATCATTGATTTTATTTATACTGCAAAACTTTCTCTTAATATGGACAATCTTCAGGACACACTTGAAGCTGCTAGCTTTTTACAAATATTACCCGTTTTGGATTTCTGTAAAGTATTTCTTATATCAGGAGTCTCTTTAGATAACTGTGTTGAGGTTGGACGAATTGCTAACACCTACAATCTTATAGAAGTGGATAAATATGTTAATAATTTCATCCTGAAGAACTTTCCTGCTTTATTGAGTACTGGGGAGTTTCTAAAACTCCCTTTTGAACGGCTTGCCTTTGTGCTTTCCAGTAATAGTCTTAAGCACTGTACCGAACTCGAACTCTTTAAGGCAGCCTGTCGCTGGCTAAGGTTGGAAGACCCTCGGATGGATTATGCTGCAAAATTAATGAAGAATATTCGATTCCCACTGATGACACCACAGGATCTCATCAATTACGTGCAGACAGTAGATTTCATGAGAACAGACAATACCTGCGTGAATTTGCTTTTGGAAGCCAGCAATTACCAAATGATGCCATATATGCAGCCAGTGATGCAGTCAGATAGAACTGCCATTCGATCTGACTCCACTCACTTGGTTACATTAGGAGGAGTTTTGAGGCAGCAGCTGGTTGTCAGTAAAGAATTACGGATGTATGATGAAAGGGCACAAGAATGGAGATCTTTAGCCCCGATGGATGCTCCCCGTTACCAGCATGGTATTGCTGTCATTGGAAACTTTCTTTATGTAGTTGGTGGTCAAAGTAATTATGATACAAAAGGAAAAACTGCTGTTGATACAGTTTTCAGATTTGATCCTCGGTATAATAAATGGATGCAGGTTGCATCATTAAATGAAAAGCGTACATTCTTTCACTTGAGTGCTCTCAAAGGACATTTGTATGCAGTTGGTGGGCGCAGTGCAGCTGGTGAACTGGCCACAGTAGAATGTTACAACCCAAGAATGAATGAGTGGAGCTATGTTGCAAAAATGAGTGAACCCCACTATGGCCATGCTGGAACAGTATATGGAGGCTTAATGTATATTTCAGGAGGAATTACCCATGACACTTTCCAAAATGAGCTTATGTGTTTTGACCCAGATACAGATAAGTGGATGCAAAAGGCTCCAATGACTACAGTCAGAGGTCTGCATTGCATGTGTACGGTTGGAGATAAGCTCTATGTCATTGGCGGCAATCACTTCAGAGGAACAAGTGATTATGATGATGTTCTAAGCTGTGAATACTATTCACCAACCCTTGACCAGTGGACCCCAATTGCCGCCATGTTAAGAGGCCAAAGTGATGTTGGAGTTGCCGTCTTTGAAAATAAAATCTACGTTGTTGGTGGATATTCTTGGAATAATCGTTGTATGGTAGAAATTGTCCAGAAATATGACCCAGAAAAAGATGAGTGGCATAAAGTTTTTGATCTTCCAGAGTCACTTGGTGGCATTCGAGCTTGTACACTCACAGTTTTTCCACCTGAAGAAAACCCTGGGTCACCTTCTAGAGAATCACCTCTTTCAGCACCTTCAGATCATTCTTAGGTCTAAGGTGTAACACCTTTGCAGTACATCATGGGTGATCTAATACTTCTCCTTCAGTTGTATCTTCTTACAGTGATTGGTACAGTTGTTAGATATAAAGGTAACTGATGTTATTCGTCTTGTTTGGCTTTTAGTATGTTTATCAAGTGACTAACAAATGCATTCTGAAGTTGTATTTAACATAGCTAGCTGTTTTAACAAATGAGAAAAAAAGATGTAGAAAAATATTTAGATGTCTTTTTGTGATGTTATATAAAATTGTAGATGACTGTGGTAAATGTGTAATTATGTCCATTATGCTTCAAAGTCGAGTTTTCATCTTTGACTCCAAAATGTCAGAGGGAGGTCACTGTAACCTAAAATTAACAAAAGGTTGCCCAGTATTAATATTAGTTACCTCCCTCTTTTCATAGTTTTTGATATGTCTGTCAACTTACTCGATTGTGTGGTTGCATTCAGAATATTTGAAGTTTCTTACGCAGACAGAAATAATAAAAATATTAATTAGGAAAAAACAGTATAGCACCAAACCAGTATTTGGTATCTCTCTCTAGAGTGAGCAAGAGAGGGAGAAAAGAGAAAAAAATACACAATACAAACATACATGCCTACGCACATCACATACATACATATGTATACACACACATAATTTAAAAATTGATTGGCACTTCAACTATGCTGAAATTGTTTTTAAATTGAAGTTTCTTTCTTCCACAAAGCAGCCGTTTCTATTCAAATGGGAATTCAATACCAGAGAATAAATGTTTATATAGTCATATTGCATTTAGATAGATGAGGGCTACAGCATACTAAATCAACAATCAAATTTGTCATGTGTCTAAACCATTACTTCATATAAAGCTTACGTTACTTTTTTCTACTTGTATAGTTTCTGTAGAGTACTTTTACACAGATTGGTAAAGTTCAGGTTTCAGAGAATTGTTTTTGTGCAGAAAATTTAGGTTCTTTTTTCCACCTTTTTTGGTCAGTAAAACTTAATGAAAAAAGCAAAGAAAAAAATATTCTGAACAAAGCTATAGAGTTTTAAGTTCAGCCTCCCAACTTAGTCATCCTAACATGATGATTTTGCGATTTGGGGTGATTGCCCTGGTGCTGTTCCAGTCCATGTGCATCCTGAGCTGTGTGAGCTGCCTCAAGGCTATGATCTGAGCAAGCAGGAGATACATTTTCTTTTGCATCAAGTGAGGAAAAATGTGCTTTTGGCCGTGTCTCAAGGACAGGACCAACTTCAGATTCCCTAAGAAGCCAGCTACAGAGCCTCTGGAACACTATGGTCTTACGAGCAGTACTAATAGCAACCTCCAGCCTCTTCAATACCATGGGTATCCCTACTGGTTGAGAACCACATGATAGTTTTTAATGGGACTTTTATCAGCAAGTGGAGTTACAGGAATTCTCTGTAATGATTCTGAAGAGGTACTTGCCTGGAATAATTGTCTACCTGAAGAAAAAAATTTTATATATACATATGTGTATGTACACACACACACACAAACACCCCTATACTTGGAAGATTGTCAGAGTGTAAATCAGGAACAACTTTATTGACAATCCCATAATAAAACTCAGGAACCAAGGCAAAATGAATTGGCTTCTAGGGGTCTGAACCTTACTGCCCATACAAGTGTTGATTCATTTTAATGCTTTTTATGATTTCTGCATTGGCAGAAATGTTCATATTTTATATTTTTTTAATGACTCAGTTTTTTATTACTAAAAATAGCACATTTGAGTACATTTGAAAAATATAGAAATTAGAAATTAACTTTATCGAATAAGCAAGAAGTGCATCCTAATCCTTTCTTGATTATTAATGAGGTTGAATATTTGTGTATTATGGATAGCTGTGTTTCTTTGATCAAATATTCCTGTCCTTTTGCCCTTCTGTTACCTGTTGGAGTTGCTTTGTTTTTCGTATCAAGTTATAGGATCTCTTTATATAATAAATGTAATTTAACTTGCATTTGCTTGCATTTATTTCTTCCCTCAATCTATTGTAGTTTTACAATGGCAACGCTATTGATTTTTGAGATCAAATTTGTCTTTTTCTTTTTTTTTTTTTTTTGGAGACAGGGTCTCACTCTGTTGTCCAGTTTGGAGTGCAGTGGCACGATCTGTGCTCACTGAAACCTCTGCCTCCCATGTTCAGGCGGTTCTCCTGCCTCAGCCTCCCGAGTAGCTGGGATTATAGGCATGTACCACCACGCCCGGCTAATTTTGTATTTTTAGTAGAGATGGGGTTAGGGGATAAATTTGATATGGTTTATTTTTTATGTAGTATTTCAGTGCTTATTCTGACCTACCAAGGTGGTACTGCCCTGCTTCTATTTTGTACAAGCTTTTCCTTTTATTGAAAAAAAGTACTTTTTATTACATCTTATGTCTGACCCTGGTGCTTCCTATTGAAATAAGTATTGCTTTACCAGGTAAACTGCTCTATCTATATCCCCTACCTCCAGCTTCACACACCCTGCCTCTCATTCGTTTACTTTCCCATATTCTGCAGTTGACAGTTCTCTTGGTATCATGCAGGTAGCTGACTAATGCTATGCTAATACAGGTTGAGCAGCCCTAATCCAAAAATCCAAAATGCTCCAAAATTTAAAACTTTTTGAGGGCTAACAGGATGCCACAAGTAGAAAATTCCACACCAGACCTCATGTGACAGGTTATACTCAAAACACAGTGAAGACTTCTTTGTTTCATGCACATTATTAAGCCTATTATATATAATTACTTTCAGACTATGTGTATAAAACATATGTGATATATAACTGAAGTTTTAAGTAATATTGTTTAGACTTGGGTCCCTCCCCCAGGATAACGTCATGTACATGAAAATATTCCAAAATCCAAAACACTTCTAGTCCCAAGCATTTCAGATAAGGAATATTCAACTTGTACTGCTCATTAAACCTGGAGTTTGTTATAGAGAGAAATTTTAGGTGGTTGAAATGATTAAGTAGAAAGAGATTTATTTTCATAAGCTGGTAATTTTTTAAAGAAAGTTCAGACTGGAAAAATATTTAGAGGATAAAAACTAAAAGCACATAAAGCACTCTTAACATTTCTTGTTTTAGTTTTTCTGGTAAGCAAAAATTAACATTTGCTAGCTTTTTTGGTATATCTATTATAGGAAGTACAGGAAAATAAAAGCAAACAAAAAGTAATTATCAGTGATGCCACATGCTGAAGATAATTTCTATTAATACTGAGTATATTATATATATACACATACATATGTGCAGGCATTTGTCAAATATTTTTCAAATATGCCAGACCTTAGGCTAAAAGCTGGATAATGAAAACAAATCCACCTTCCAAAGACACAGACTCCTATTATGACTTTATCTTATTTTTTAAAAGCTGTATATATTAAAAAATGGTAAGGTGTTTTTTTTCTAATTATCAAATGCACATGTATTCGCAGTGAGCTGAGATCCGGCCACTGCACTCCAGCCTGGGCGACAGAGTGAGACTCCGTCTCAAAAAAAAAAAAAAAAAAAAAACAGATTCCATTTTTACTCAGATAAATCCAGACTTAAATTTCTTTCCCAGTTGCTAACAGTAATATTTATGTAGTTGGCCTGCAAAGCAAACACATTTCACTCATGTTCAGATTTTTGTAATCAAAGTTATTTTGTTCTCACTATAAAGGCAGTAAACTCCTACAGGACATTTTTAAACTACATAAATGTACCATAAAGAGAATTAAAATCAATGTGCCATCCCCAGCTCAACTGATTATAAACAATTGCTGAAAGATCGTGGGGTAAGTTTAACTCTCTAAAACTTCAGCTTTGTCATACATCTATCAGGTTGGGTGTGGTCAATAATAATTATATTTATATCAGATTTGTAAGGAAATAATATAAAGCGATTAGCATAAGATATGCACAGAAGCAGTCAGTGAATGATAGTTGTTACTAACAAAGTTGGGATTTTATAATTTTTGGCTTTTGCTTCATCTTAATGATTTTCAGACTATTTGAAAGTGTTCAGTGTCTATACTAAATATTTCATTCCATGAACATGCCATATTATTCCGTTTCCTTATGTGTAGATATTTAAATGTCTACCATAAATTTTCACCATAATAAAGCAAGATGTAATATTCTTACATAAAACTTTGCCCATATCTACTATCCTATGATAAATGTTAAGTAAAATCTGAATCATATAGTGTTAACTTTTTTAGGGCCTTAAAACGTATTTCCAGGATTATACCAATATGCATTTTTAGCGGAACTGTGTTCAGTAACTATTTCAAAGGAAATCTTTGCAGTTCTAGTTATTTTACTGTTTGGATTTACATATTTTTAATTACTAGTTACAATTTCTTGTTTATTGAGCATGTGTATTTTTCATACATAAATCATTTGCTCCTGTCTTTTGCTTTAATTGTCCTCTTTGCTATACATACTTTTTTATACTCTATAGTTTTTTATTCAAGTTAATGTGATCAAATATGTTCATCTCTTTTGTATGTTGACCTTTTGGTGGTATTTTTGTTTTTTTAATTTGGTGTGTGTGTGTAGTGGTGGTGGTTATTACATAGTACTCACGTGGTATTACTTGTTCTTGATCCTATAGCTCTATAGCTTTGTGATTATTAGTTCTTGACATGTTAGGGTGGCATCTACTGCTTGTCTCCTGTTCAAGTAGCTTTTCTTTCTAGTTAAAATGAGGATGAGTTTTTCCTTAAAATTAATAAAATTTCATTTTTATATTAAGATTAATCATTCACTTTTTTTTTTTTTGAGATGGAGTCCCACTATGTTGACCAGGCTGGTCTTCAACTCCTAGCCTCCAGTCATCCTCCTATTTCGGCCTCCCAAAGGGCTAGAATTACAGACGTGAGCCACTGCACCTGGCTGTATTAAAATTAATCTTTATTCTCTTATTTACAGAAAGGATTTGCCCACTTGTTTTCTGTGAGCCAAAAAAACAGTTTTTTTCCTTTGTAACATAGCAGAATTAGTGGGGTTTTTTGGCTCATTTTTTAATGGTTTCTGGAATAATTTTTTTTTATCATTAGGTAGTATAATTATCCCAGTATTTTATGTTGTTATTATTGATACAACTTTCTACCAAACTTTTGGCATAAAATCTAATGTATTTTTTCAAATTATCCAATTTTTCCATAACCACTTTTTGAGTATCAGCAATTCAGTAGAATTGCTGAATTTTTATGCTTTTAAAAAAATCATATAAAATCTTATAGGCAATCAATTTAGAGTATTTTTCTTCACTTCCAATGATCTTTTTTCAAGTTAAGTCTTTGAATATACATGTGTGTGTGTGTGTGTGTGTGTGTGTGTGTGTGTGTTTGTATTTCTGCTTTGAATGGAATTTTGTTATGTTCTGAACTCTTGGTAGAAGTAGGAAATATGTGGTTTTAGCATAATGGTTTTCTGTCTACCGACACTCATTGATTCTTCAGTTTTTTGGGTCAATTCTCATATTTTCACCTGAAGTAACCATTATCTGCATATTATAAAAGCCAATTTCATATTGTTTAATATGAAACATTAAAGCATGGTTCATACTTCCAGCAAAATTATAGTAGTGACCAACGAATTGTGTCTTATGTGTAATTTTAATAGGGGTAATTCTAGTTTTAGAATTCCTTTGTTACAGGGAAATATCCTTGATCTTGTTCATGAAGTTCCTCATTAATTAGGAGTCTTAAAAAATTAGGGTTGTATATCTTCATTACAAAGTGATTTCTGTACCAGCTGATCCAAATTTTTCTTAGTACCATTGATGGGTTGAAGGAAAGGCTATTTCTTGGCTATGTGAACAGTGTATCATTACCCATTTCTTCATTTATTTAGTAAAATTTGTTGAGATGACAATTTAATTTTTCTCATGTCAAATACTGAAGAAGAGTCTGTTTTTTAATTGTTTTCAACTTGGGTTAGAAAGCACTTTTATATATCGAGTGCATTGTCAATTGGTATACAGTTTAGAATGCAATTTGGCAAAAGTAGTAAAATGATCTTTCAAGTTTCATGCCTTTTGGACAGTAAGCATATTTCTAGAATTAATAAGTGACAGAAAATAAGCCAGAAATAGTCATCTCAGCATGATACTACTATTTGCTTCCTAATATGACCACACTGGACCTTCCATTAAAATGTTTTTAAATGGATTTTTAAAGATTCTTCCCACCTTAATTTTGATACTTTTATCTACATCCTCTAGTATTCAATTGTTGAGCATATATTTGAATGACTGGATGATGATTAGAATAAAAGACTTAGATATCCATTAAGGATGACTGAACACATAACAGAACTGTTGAATTGTGTACATGAGCCAGATGCACTAGTACACAGAATAGGTAGTTCCTCTGCAACAGTCTCAGAGCGGCTGCTTTCCAGGGGCTAATGTTATTTTACCATCTATTGGTTGAAATTAAAAGTCTTTGTTTAGCTAGATTACAGAAAATATATCTCCTTATAACAGTAATAACAAAACCCAGAAATTTTTATAGCACATGTGGAAGTTCAAAGTTGGCAGCTTATATAAATTACATAAGTGAATATTAAAAACCTTTGGTAATTTTTTGGTGTATGGTAGATCAAAGAGAAGAATTTTTTTTATATTACTTAAAAATACAGATTTAAATAGCTATGACCTTTATTTTATTTATAAATTCATACACATTGATTTTTAAAATCTGCAACATTTCATCTGGATTCTAAGCATTCATACCCACTACTTGCTTTTTCCTTTGAGTGGATTCCCTATACCATTTTTATTTTTAGTTTTTAGCAGACAGCCTCATCACAAAGACGTGTAGAATAAATCTTTTCAACAGCAGAAAGGATGTAATATGCATTATATCCAGTTATAAGTAAATATGACAACCTCATTTAAGAAATTTTTATATTGGTTTGCTCGTGTGGGTATGAGGATCAAATCATGACTGCCATAGCCACATAATTTTCACCCGGCCAGCCAGAGACAAATATACATATGCATATACATGTGTTTGATGTAAAATAGCTTTTGGACCAGCTGATCCAAATTTTTCTTAGTGCCATCCATGGGCTCAAAGAAAGCCTATTTCTTGACTATGTGAACAGTAAGAATGGCATCAACTACCCATTTCCTTATTCTCCATGTTATTGTCTCAGAACAAAATATTCTTATACACCAAGCATTTTTCCCTCAAGATGGATGTGTATAACAGGTGATCTCTTAATAGTGCCTCCTGAAGGATATCGAGAGTGCACATATCTTTTCTACATAGAACTGAAGGAGCAAGATTCAATTTCATGCAATCTTAGCTCAAGATGTGTATAAAGCTGTTGACAGCAACCAAGTAACCTAAACTTCAGAAGTTTCGTTGTCTAGAGCGCCTTCTCCAATTGTAAGTCCAAAAAGTATGTCTAGCTCTTTACTGGTCCATCTTCAAAAAGGCTATTACAATACAGCCTTACAATCTCTTATAATGGAAGTTTATCATTCTTTGCTAATTTCACCCAAGTGCCAGTCAACAGAGTACATGTTTGTGTGTGGTGGGGATGGGAGGCAGGTCTAACTTCTACTGATTCAAACAGCTTTGTCTTACTTAAGGAGTATACTTTATCACTTAGAAGTCAAAAAATTCTTCCAGCCAGGAATTAGTGATCCATTAGAACTTATTTCTAATTCATGTTAAATCATGAACCAAAACATACTGAATATAAAAACCTAATTTGAGTCAGTGTAATATTTATTTCTTCATACTTCATTTCTACATACAAAGCAGTGTTTACTTCAATTATTTATTACTCTCTCCATCCTTCTCCACATAAGAAAATTACAGATTTCACAAAACCTTTCATATATGTATATACATATACTTGAAGGCATCAGTTAACTCAAAGATTAAGGAAAAAGTTTTTGTTTTGCTTTTGTTGTTGTTTTTGTTGTTGTTGTTGCTGTTTGTTTTTTGAGATGGAGTTTCACTCTTGTCACCCAGACTGGAGTGTAGTGGCGTGATCTCGGCTCACTGCAATCTCCGCCTCCCCGGTTCAAGCGATTCTCCTGCCTCAGCCTCCGGAGTAGCTGGCATTACAGGCGCCTGCCACCACCCCTGGCTAATTTTTGTATTTTTAGTAGAGACGGAGTTTCACCATGTTAGCCAGGCTGGTCTCAAACTACTGACCTCAGATGATCCACCCGCCTGGGCCTCCCACAGTGCTGGGATTACAGGCGTGAGCCGCCGCCCCCAGCCAGAAAAAGTTTTCTAATTTTCAAGGCTGACTCTACATTAATAATCCCTTCCATGCCCTGGACTAGCTGTACTTTATCCTTCAAGGGGAATAAGTTATGGATTCCATTGGTATGTCTATTTTGTTCACTTCTTGGGCTGCAATATCGACACTTCCCATTCACCGTTACCACTTACCTAGTAGATAGTCTAGCCACTTACAACAGGTTCATGACTACCATTTGGGAATGCCTCCATGAGACCAAGGAGATCCATTGAAACTCAGCCCCCAAATCCAATGTCACTTTCCTTTTGACATCTGTAGTTTTATCATCTATCATAACCATGCCTACTCATTATCTGTAAAATACTCTTTCTACATTAAGGGATACTCTCACATTATGAATTCTAGTTGTGGTTGTTTTAAAATATATTCACAGATTTTCTCATATTCTTTTCTTTCCCCCTTTGACTTATGTGTTGGATGCAGTGATTCCCATCTAATGAATACAATGAAACAAGGGTGTTTAAATTATAGACTAGGTCATAAAAAATTGTGCACTTCCTCCATGTTTATCTCTTATCACTTCCTCCAGTACAGGCCAACTGCCATGTTGTGAGCACATACCACATAGCTCCATGGAGAGGCCCAAGTGACTGTGATGAAGAGCTGAGACTCCCTATCAGTGGCCATGTGAGTGACCCATGTTAGAAACAGATCTGCCAGCCCAAATAGAGCCTTCAGACAACTGCAGCCCCAGCTGGCATCTTGACTGCAACTCATGAGAGATTCTAAGCCCACCGAAGCTGCTCTTGAATTATTGATTCACAAAAACTGTTAGGTAATAAATGTGTGTTGTTTTAAACCACTGAGTTTTTGATTAATTAATTATGCATCAATGGAAAACCAAATCACCAATGCAGGCAAGATAATGTACATTTCAAGCCTCCCTTGTAGATAGGACATGGGCAGCAAGAAAGACTTGCCAATCTGGAGCACGTGCATGAGCTTTTGATCCTAAAGTGTCCACAAGAAGATATAGGCTCTGCATGGTGTTTCTGTGTTTGTTGGCTGAATTGTTGACTTTCTATGGTGGAAAGTTCAAGTTTTAGGAAAATAAACGGCATCAGAGCATGGAAGTTCTTTCTAGTTCTTACTAGAGCAGCATCATCAACCGTGGGTTTTTATATCTGGACAGTTCTCTGGTTTAATTTTTGATATTTTTGTCTGGAGGCTTAGTCTACAGCTTGTTTCTATGGCATCCCAAAAATTCAGCAAGCATCTTAACACCTCTGTTTAGTCATCAGTCTTACATTCAGCTTTACTCTTTACTACAACCTAATAAATACCTTCCAAACCTGTTACCTATCTCAATGGGTACAATAACTATGCCCTAATGGGTCCACTTCCCACCTTTCTAACCAGTATGTGCAAGCAAACCCCAACCCAGTTTTCAAAGGGCAGCTGTAAGAGTTTTCTAATATGTATTTGTTGACATCAATTCACTGCTTAAAACATCTCGATATTTCTAATTATCATTTCTGTGAATCATACTCCCATAATTGCTTACAAAGCCTTTTACAATGCAACACCTGCTTCCTATTCTAACTTCTGCTTTCTCCCTCCCTCCCTTCGCCCTCTGGCCACTACATATTCACATCTGCTGTTCCTGTTTCTGACCCTTTGAACATCCCACATTTACTTGGTTAACTCCCACAGGTCCCTGAGATGCCAGCTTAGCAGTTACTTCTCCTGGATGCTTTCCCTGACAGAAACAAGTCCTACATGCTTCCAGAATCTGGTACTTTCCCTGTCACAGTCATTAGCATTACTTTAATTAAATGCTCACTTGCCCACATCCCACCAGACTGGAAACTCTGTCATTCCCTGACAGCAGAGAATGTGTCTACTTTTTTTCATTGTAACAGGCACCATCCACAGAGCCAGCAAATAAAAGGTATTTGTTACTTATTTGAAGTTTCAAGGTGGATGATTCTGTATTTCACTTTAGTTTCTAGTTCATGTACCCGCTGAAACTGAATCAACAGTCATCAGATATGACTTCTCTAAGAAAGCATAAGTAAAACTGAATTCACTTCAGTTGGTATAATCTATTATAGTGAATTGTTCATCTCCTTCATGGCCCTAGGATTCCTACCTACCTACTTATTGTTTAGAACTGTCTTCTCAGGAAGAGTGCTCCACTAAAGAAAGTCAAGTCTTTATTTAACTTACCAATACATTCACAATGACAAGTAAATTGCCTGGAGCAGAGATATTTAAAACGATTTATGAATAAATGGAATTAATGTTCCTTTTGGATTTGAAAGCAGATTAAAGGTTTAAGGGCACTTTGTATCTCTTTGAGGGTTTGAGTAAGACCTGACTTTTACTGTAAAGATTTAAGTACCCTCTCCATCCCCATCAAACAAAAGAAACCAGAAGGCAAAGCTGACTGTATTTATAAACAATAAATTTTGAATATACAGCAATTATCGTTGGATACATTTTAATTATTACGAGCTAAAAATGTAATTTCTCCCTATTCAAAAGTACAATTTTGCCAGGTGCAGTGGCTCATGCCTGCAACCCCAATATTTGGGAAGCTAAGGTGAGTGGATAACTTGAGGTCAGGAATTTGAGACCAGCCTGGCCAACATGGCAAAAACCCATCTCTACTAAAAATACAAAAATTAGCTGGGCATGGTGGTGCATGCCTGTAATCCCAGCTACTTGGAAAGCTGAGGCATGAGAATCACTTGAACTTGGGAGGCGGAGGTTGCAGTGAGCCGAGATTCTGCCACTGCACTCCAGCCTGGGTGACAGAGTGAGACTCTGTCAAAAACAAACAAACAAAAAAGTACAATTTCTTCTTATTGTTGAAACACAATCTTACAAAAATGACTCAATACATTGAAAAATGAAGCAGAAAGTCTTTGAATTGAAAGAATATTTACAAACTTGAAGCCACATAATCAGTAGATGAGACCCAATTGACTGATATTGGGTCTAAATATAAGTTTCCTTTCCAACCTCCTGGGAGTTCTGATGAGCCTATTAACACAGAAAAGGCATTTATTGATTTTCCTTTCTTAATTTGCAGTCTGACAATGTCCCAGGCACAACAGATGTGTTCTTTCTTTCTCACATAGAGACTGATTCCTTGTGAATACTCCTTCATAGCCAGGCTGGAATTCTCCTGCTCAAGGTCTCTTTGATTTCCTATACCTAAACAGGTCTCCAGAAATTCTAGCTACTGATCAAGCCCAGTAAAGAATTTCAGTTCTTTGTGCTGAAAACACTGGAGATCTGCTGGATCATCTCATGAAGAACATTGGTGGCCTGAGCCTTTTGGAATTTGGTGCCATGCAGCTGCTCCAGGGGAAAATTGAAAACATTCTTGTTCTTCAGACAGGAAGAAAAGAAAGATTCTCCCAGTTTGGTGCAGAACTTTGAAGGTCACCTATTTATGGCAGCCCATGGCTCTGGGCTAGGCCACAGCCAAGGGTGCAGAGAGAACTGCAGAATATCATCCTCAGTGTCACTAGGGAAGAGTTTGGCAGGGTCATTGGTGGGATGCAGCTGGCTAGGTCATTTGAGTCTTTACCCGCCTGTCTCAGCACTTCCTTGTTGTGAGATTCTTACATAACCAGATTAGGATTTTCAGTTTCTGTACTTATCTCAACTTTTCCACTTTGTTCACCTCTTCTATTTACGGGTCTCAGATAATGTCATGACCTCAACACTTCTTTTGTATTATGACAATGGAAATTAAACACACTCAGAAAATGGCAGAACTCTCAATCTAATAGGATATACCCATCCAAATGAGACTCAATGTTGAAATAAAAGCCTATCTGAGTCTCAATCTATGTCTCTTTTAAAATTCTAATAATGGTACTTAGAGGTCTCATCTTGGACATTTTTACTTCTTAAACTGCACTGAAATACATGTTTCCTCACTTCTCTTCATTTCCCTTTTAATGAACTAATACACTAGATTTGATTTCTTCCACCTTTCTTTACAAGAGCCACAGCTCATAATCTGTAGATAATGGTGGCATAAAACTTGAAAACCCAGGGTTAAGTCATCCAGTTGTCTTTATTCTGTCACTAAAAATGTCTTACTGCATATATGTGACAGACAATAGGCTTGGTAATTTGGATTAAGAGATAAGTAAAACAGGATGATAACTACCCTCCATGGATTCAAAGAATGGCATTTAAGACATTATTGTGATTAATTAAACACTAGCATGCTCAGTGCAGCCAAGAGGACGAACTAAAAGCTAATAAAGAGGGAAATTGAGAGGCAGCAGAAACTGCCACTTTCTGACAAAATTTGTGGCTCCTAGGAGCTTAAACAACATCAGGTTTTCGTTTCCTCTTCTGCAAAATTGAGACAATTTTAATAGTTGTCACATAGGAAATTGAAAAGATTAAATAAAGTCTGCAAATTACTGGCTGAGACTCTGAACATGGTAAATGATTGTTACCTTTAATTTCAATGTAATAAATAACATAATCCTGTGTATAGTCCACATTTCACCAAATCCAGACAAGAGAAGTTTTGATTGCAGCTCCCCTAACATTCCTGAGGTCTAACACATTGATGTCCCAAACTCTAGGAAAGGGGACTGTCTGTAAAACTGTGAAGGAGTAGAGCCCAGGTTTCCATTGTCAGAGTAGTGCCTTGCACAGAAGAAAAATTGTACAGCCCCCGTGAAGCTTGTTCCAGGGAACCAGTGTCTCAGCAAGTTGTGACAGAAAACGACTGCTCTGTGAATAGTATAAATAAATAAAATAATCCCTTTACTCAGATTCAGTTAGTTTCAAATCACCATTGATGATTATTTTTGGGCCCAAGTAAAAAATATTTTGTAAACCATTTTCCCAGTCTTTACAACTCTTTAATTCAACCCTAAAAGAAAAAGGTGATTTGAAACTAACTGAATATAGTATTATATAGTTACCTATAGATATATACAGAATATACACTTACATATTTATACATATTTAAATACATATAAATAAGTAAATATTGTAATCAGTATATATAATTCCATATAAGGTATATATTGAAGTATATACATTAAAATATACAAATGTATACATATTTTTGTACATTATATTTACATATGGATTTTTAAATGTACAAAAACATATATAAGATATATAAATATATATTCTTTTTTTTTTTTGAGGCAAAGTCTCACTCTTTTGTTCAGGCTGGAGTGCAGTGGTGCTGTCATACCTCACTACATCCTCAAACTCCTGGGCCCAAGTGATCCTCCCACCTTGTCATCCCAAATAGCTGAGACTACAGGTGTGAACTACCACACCTGGCTAATGTTTTGTTTTTTGGTAGAGATGGTGTCTCCTGTTGACCAGGCTGGTAAATCCTGGCTGCAAGCAATCCTCCTGCCTTGGTCATCTAAAGTGCTGGCATTATAGATTTGAGCCACCACACCAGGCCTATATATTCTTTATGTATATTTAAAAACATATGCTTAAATTGTGCATACTTTTGTATTTAATAATATACAAATTTAATATATTAAGTATAATTTAATAAGCATATATTAAATTATATGATATTGTCAAAGTGTATATAGTACTTAAAGCTGTATATACTTAAGTATACATAATTATATTTACACATATTAAATACAAAATACATAATCTAAAAATGTAATATATATTTAATAAAGTATATAAACTTATGTTACATAAAATTTAAGTGTATATAAGCATATATATACACACATATATTTCTGGAGGGAGGGGGATTGGAAATGGGACTATCTTGATTTTCAGCCATGGAAAACCACAATACTAAATTGAAAAAGCAAAAAAGAATATAGTCATGTATAAAGAATGAAAACATTTCCAGGCAAAAAATTTGGCCAAGGACTCAAATTGCAAAATCTTGGTTTATCTACCTGAAGTGGCATTCTGAATACTACATTCCATATTTTGGAAATCAAACTGAAATGGACACTACTATCACATGTAAAATGGATGGTGATAACAAGGTCATTCATATTTTCTGTGTGTGATGAGAACATAGAAATAATTACAGGATAAGGATAGGTAACTATCACGTCTAAGACACACCAAAAAATGAAAGGCTGAAGTCAAACTTTGCTCCAATTCTATGCTCACGTTTGCCAAATTACTTCCCACCTGTGCAAACACTTTTTTTTCCAACCCTTTTTCTTTAGTTCTATCCAGGTATTGCCCATCATGTCAGCTCTGTTTCTCAAAGCAAGTGGGTAAAATTAACACAGCAGTAAACTCTGCTGGCCTACAACATAAAAGGTATCAAACAGCAGGCAAGTCAAGTGACTCAGAGCCTTTTCACATCTCAGTCCTCCTACTCTAATGCGCTGGACTCTCCTCGCTTCTCCAGAAGCGCTGCCATTTTCTCCTTTAGTCCCTCTAGTGAGCCCTTCTAGATGTGGTCTCCCTGAGCTCTGAGACTTAGCTTATTGGTTTCATTCTTATTTAGCTCATATCTCTAGCCTTGTCATGACTTAGTCTTACTTAGGCTTGTGCCAAACAGAAATCTAAAGCCTTATGGATATTTGAACAAAAGGGTAGACATATGCTGAGCTTTTCAAGGAGCTACTTATTAATATATTACTAGGGTGAACAGAGTTTTACAAGTACATTTAAGTTTATGAAGATACGTTCTCAAGAAGACAAAACTAGTATATAACATATGTAAGTAAATTGAGGCCTTTCTTAATCATAATGCAGCATACCAGGCATAAGCAAATGAAGGAGAGGAAAAGGAGATGAAAAGAAGGACAATGCCATGCTTTAGGCGGGACTGTACTTAGAAAATATTGATCAGACTCTAGAAATCAGCTTTAGTTTTTATGGCCAGAAATATTCCACAAAGCATGTAAGAGCTGAGGATTGAGAGTCTAATTTTCTGGATTCCAGCTGTGGCTCCACAACTTAATAGCTCCCTGTGCTTCTGGGTTTTTCTTTTGTAAATGGGGAAAATAGTGCAACCTATCACTATCTGCTTTGGTTACTGATACCTCTAGTGACTAAATAGGGCTGGGTACATAGTAAATATTCAATAAATATGAAAAATGGGGGTATTCCTTATTAGATAAAATTAGGGTAGATTTTGTCAGTGCTAAGAACAATATCTGATTGATAAGAAACACTAAACAATTTAGCTACTTACTATTCTTTTTATTAATGTTATTTTTAGTATCTTTATTAAGTTTAAGGAAGTTTCCTTTGACATCATCTATTCCCTTTCTTCTTATTAATATTAAAGCCATGACAAGAAAAATGTTTATCTTCTGAGTTTATTTACCAGTGCAAAAATTAATTATTAGGGGTGCAAACAAATGGTAGATATTACAATGGCTTATGACCCTTCAAAGCTCCCCTCTAACAAAACCTTATCTCTTAGTACTTATGTTCTTTCATTGGATTTTCTTGTGTATCACATGAAGATCATTGACACCAGGGGAGAACTTGATGCAATTACACTTGTCCATTCTTCAGAGAGAATATTGTGCTTTCACAAATTTGCCTTTTTTGTGTACAACGTCATGTGTGTGGTGTGTCTACCACAACTGTCAGTTAAGGCTGAATTCACCAAAACACCCACTGGACCAGTAATGATTACTTCTCTTCAAGCCCATTTCCATATGGTACCTTTGATCTACATCCTTTTTATAATTTTGCTTCTGCTCCTTCCCATCCCTTAATGTCCATCTTGCCTGGGCTGAATGTAGCTAAGTTACATTTTGTCATTTTTTTCTCCAGTGGGATATTGTTGTCATTCTTACATTTTCATCATATTTACTTATACATTTGTTTTCTTTTTGTCCCCATTAATTGGGATGCAAAAAGCAACAACTTTTGATTCCTATAAAAAAGGAAGTGAGAAAGATATATGGTGTCTTACATGTTATATAGAACAACTGTACTGTCCATTTATACTATTTACATACCATTATTGATATTTAGAAAAAAGATGAGATTTTTTAAAACTCAATTAGGATTGAAATGTCTCAATGGAAATTTGAGACTTTAATGTCAATAAATTTTTTTTAATTAATTGAAGTTTTCTCGATTGTATACTGTCATTAGGGATGAAATTGCTCCCAAAGCTGCAAAAATCAATTCCTGGGGTTGTGAAAAAGTCATATATATTACAATGGCTTATGACACTTCAAAGCTTACCTCTAGCAAATCATGACTCTTTATTATTTATTTTCTTTCATTTGGGTTTTCTTGTGTATCTCATGAACAGCATTGACATTGAGTTCAGGGAAGATACACAAAATGAATGCAAGACCAGAGCTACCAACCTATGTGGAATAGATGGCTGCCATTAGTGGACTTTCTCTCCATTATTTGTTCAATCCCAAAGTTATACCACGAGATGTGTCCTCCATTGGCATATGGGCTGCTATTGGCTGTCTTACTGATGTAGGTTATGTTTGATCCTCAGTGCTTCTGAATGTGTGATAGACTTTGAGAATAAAATTATTTAATTCTACTAAAGTTATTCAACACATCAATACTTAAGTCAAGGGCTGAAAAAAATTTGATTATACCTAGATGAATATCTAGCAGCCAGTCAAGTTTTAAATTATTTTCTGTATGAAGTGGAATTAAAAGTTACATACACTACAAATAAATATTGAGAAAATCATTTAATTATAAATAATTTTTAGCAGTTTTGAAATAATTTAAAGTGTTATATTGGTGTTATATATTTTAATAGATTGCAACTTTGTATATATAAATTATTCAATAATACTTATATCAGTAAATAAATTATACTAAAGGTTACTCAGAAAATTAAATTTTAAGGATTCAAGTCAAATGTCAGTAGCTTTAAAATTCAAATTTTAGCTTAAAATTTTTTATTTAGTTATTCATAATTCTACATTAAATTAAAAACCATATTTTCTACTTTTTCAAATGTATAAAATGCAGATATAAATGCAACATATAAATACATATACAATATATATGTGTTATTATCATGAGGGAATCAATTAGGTAAAATGATCTAGCCCTTGTGCCTGGGAGGTTGTCAGAGCAGACATCATGAGATCCTTCTCTTCATCAAGGCTCTGGAGGTAAGGAAAGGGAAGGCAATAGTGAAAAAAAAAAATGGCTGAGAAACACTAGTCTAAGCCCACATAGAGAGTGCATAAAGGAAAGCAAAAACAGGAGTAAAAAGTAAGAGAGGGGAATTCAGAAAATGGAAACTAATATATTCCCTATTTAAGGTTATGCACAAAGCAAGGTCTTCAGAGAACCTAGAGCCCAAGGTGCAGAGTCACCCATGTCAACAAGCCCAGCAGCATCTGCAACATCTGTGATGGCCTTGCCCTTTTCTTTACTGATGGCCCTGGTGATGCTCAGCTGCAAGTCAAGCTGCTCTCTGGGCTGTGATCTGCCTCAGACCCACAGCCTGGATAACAGGAGGACTATAGTCCTCCTGGCACAAATGAGGAGAATCTCTCCTTTCTCCTGTCTGAACAACAGACATGACTTTGAATTTCTTCAGGAGGAGTTTGATGGCAACCAGTTCTAAAAGGCTCCAGCCATCTCTGTCCTCCATGAGCTGATCCAGCAGACCTTCAATCTCCTCAGCACAAAGGACTCATCTGCTGCTTGGGATGAGACACTCCTAGACAAATTCTACACAGAACTTTACCAGCAGCTGAATGATCTGGAAACCTGTGTGATGCAGGAGGTGGAAGTAGGAGAGACTGCCCTGATGAATGAGGACTCCATCCTGACTGTGAGGAAATACTTCCAAAGAGTCACTCTCCATGTGACAGAGAAGGAATACAGCCCTTGTGCCTGGGAAGTTGTCAGAGCAGACACCATGAGATCCTTCTCTTCATCAAGAAACTTGCAAGAAAGATTAAGGAGGAAGAAAAGACTCATTTATGTTATAACACAAGATGAATTGAATCAAATATTTCAAATGTTTTCGCGAGTGTTAATCAACATCCTGTTCAGCTATACAGGTACTAAAGACTTACAGATGGCCATGCAGATGTATCTGCTTATTTAACTACTTATACAACTTAAATTATTCTTGCTCACATAGCATGTGCACCTTTATATTGTGAATTATGTAACAGGAATATGGTTTTTATATTTACTTAATGTATTTTACCTTGTTTAATAAATGTTTACTATAGAAAATTCTCTTATTTGTTTATTCTTTAAATGAAACCCTAAGCCTGATTTTGCAACCTGATAAAAGTATAGGTGGCACAATTCATTTACTCGCCATTATTATATTCAAGTTATAAGTAAAAATGGACTCTGTCTAAGCCAGATTATATGCTGCCTCAGGATATCTAGGAGAACATAACAAATACAGTTTTTGCTTTCTGATGTCTTTGATTTTTGTAGGGAAAAATCCCTACAAATAGTAATTTTACTTAATATCAGTTATGTTAAATACTATAACAAAAAGAAGGATCAATGAATTTCTCTCAGCAGAAAGTAGACTGAGGCATGTAAGGCAATAGAAACTAATGCAGAGATATCCTCTATAAGTTGACTGGTAGAAATCTATGTGCAAATGTGCACTGTCAGTTTGTTATGTGAATTTGCAATTTACAAGAAATGCAACTGGGAGAGGTTCATAGGTGGTAACTGAAAGCACAGAAATGGAGGTGATCATGTGGGGAGAGAGTGTAAAGGGAGAAAAGTACTTAAATTTGGTTCTGAGAGCCTTCAACCCTTAAAGGAAGGGGAGAGAAGAGCCACAAAGAAAACAAGTGGAATGGCCATATGAGACTATGGACAATGAGACAGAAAGGTGATGAAGCATATTTAAGAAAATAAACATGCTTAGAAGAGTAGTCACTGGATTCATGAAGGGTGTGGATTGAAACTACCCACTGCAATGGAAAAATAGATGGCACTGGCAATTGCAGTGACAGCTGTTTTGGTAGATTTAATCAGCAGAAACCATAATGAAGAAGGTGGAAGTGTAAATAAGAGAAGGTAGGGAGAGAAGAAGGAAATAGGATGAAATCTTGAAAAAACGTAGGTTATTTTTTCTGTACATAGGTTTTCCTTTTCTGCAATATTTTTTCTGGATAAATTTCATAGAATTGATGTAGTGACAAATTATATGATATGCTATATATACTTATTATAAATCATGACATTCAATAACTTATAATTATAATTTATTATTATTTTAATACTACCTTGAATATCAAAGCTGCTCAGTTTTTGTTAATTTGTTGGGCTAGAATATATGACTAATTAAATGAAAATATTACATTAATACTGTTAATATAATAGTTACTGGAATTATTGGCTTTATTAATTAAGTTACTTACATCATTGATTTACTAGTTTTACTGCTGCGCTCTGGTGGATGTAGATACGATAAGAATTCTTTTATATTGGTAATTGGTAATTTTATCAGATTTTATGAATATTGGAGTCTTATATTGATCCCAAAATAACCAAATTACTATAAACATTACTGATAAACTTCCTTCACAAAAGTAAGAAATTGCATCAAAGAATCTCTTTCCCAATATACAATGAAGAAAAAAAATTGGTCAAAACCAGTTGAAAATACAGCATGAACCATAGAAATTCAGACAGCAAGAAAAAGTTCTGTGTAATTCATGAGTAAAAGGAAATTTAACAATTTGCACAGAGATCCTGAATACAAAACTGACAAAATCACCTGTAATTTACATGAAAGAATTTGACATTAAAATTTCATTCTGCTTAGACGTAAGTGTGATGTTGATCAAGACGTCTAATCTCTTTGAGCCTTAGTTTTCTCATAAATAGAACTATTTAGATACTTGTGAATATTAAAGGAACCCATGCAGTTTAAAGTACCTACCATAGTACCTCCCATTGAGTAAGGAGTTAAAATATGGGAGGTATTTCCCTATTTTTCTTCATTCAGCGGTAAATAAGAATATTATTTGTGTTTCTGTAAAATTCTTAGGAACTATGTCCTACCTTTCAATAACTGACCTCCCAGAAAGGCAGCCTAAAAAACTAGATTCTGTTATCTGTAGAGAGGCTGAAAAATGGTCACTCCTCATTTCAAAGAAATGTCCTATTTATATGCAGTCAGGGAATGGTGGCTTGTATAAATACATGACACAAGAGAATAAGCATGTAGATTGAAGTGCAGAAGAGACACGATGTTTATTTACTGATTCAGGCACCTGACACATTCCCTCCCTGGCTCTCAGCATTCCAGGATGCACTCTTATATCACTAGGGATTCCTTCCTCTCCAGGGTGGATTCCCCATGGGACCCAGGTCATTCACTCCCTTCATTTTCCTGCCCATTCACACAGCTGCTTTCAGTTCTGTTGTGCTTTTGACCTCATGGGTTCCCAAATGAGCAAAATGCCACAAATGCTAAGCAGAAGTGAAATAAAATTTCTAGGTTTTGCAGAAACATCTATAAGAGAGGTTTTTCTGAATTTCTGTTGACTATAATGTAATAGCAGCTTAGCAAAAAGGAAAGAGAAAAGACAATCCAATTTATGTGTGTGCTCCTGAAAACCTCTCAGGGGAAGATGGTCAAAGGTGACAAGGGCAGCCACCAAGACTAGAGGGCTGATTTATTCAGAAACCCTATCACTTCTGGGGATTTATCTTTATGTGGAAAAAGGCTATTTCTTGGCAAGAACAGATTCAAATATTGTCATAAGCTTGTTTCCTACCCTGTTTGTTTCATTACAAAGACAGTGACTCTCCAGCTTCAGGAAGGGCAGGGAATCCTTAGGATTGGCAGTTAGAGAAACAGAGAGGGTTGTATCCCTGCCTAGAGTCTATGGTGCAAAGCAGTGTACCCTCCTTGAAATCACCCCTTCTACATACTTTGGGACTCCAAGGGATAGGCAGAGCTGCCAATCTTGGCATGGAACTCAATGGTCATTGTAAAAATCTCATGTTAATAGGGCGCATTAAGCTCTCAACAGTACAATCTTAGTTTCACAGATTCATTCCTAATATCAGACTTCAAATATTAACAAATAGTAGAATACTTTCACTGTTGCTTTGAATAATGATTTTGACATCTCTTTTACTTAGTAGTAAAAACACTGCCTAGGTAGCAAAAAACAGAAGTTTCAGGAAAGCTGAGGAATATGAAAGAATAGTGTCATTTTACCTGAGAGCTAGTATAACTTATTTATTCAAATATATCAAATTCGGTATAATTTTAGAGGGATTCTTATAATAGGCACCATATTTTTACGAAGGTATTTCACCAGGAAGTGCATGAATTGCTAAGATAGCAGGGAGGGAGGGCCTGCAACTGCAGAGGGGACTCGAATGTTTTCCTTAGGCTGTACACTCAACATTTGAATTTGCTGCTTTCCAAATGGGAGTTCACCCGAGCCTTAGATAAAGTTCAACACATTTTGTCCTTTGTAGACTTCTTCTGTCCTCCAGAGGGGAGGATGAAGAAATTTAGGAGGTGGACATGGCATAGCTTTCCACGCTGTATATGTGAGGGTTCTTCAGAGAACAGAACAAAGAGGATGGAGAGAGAGAGATTTATTTTAAGAAAATGGATCACATAATTGTGCAATCTTGGCAGATTCAAATGTGTAGGGTAGTTTGGCAGGGTGGAGACCATGGACAAAGTGGCAATTGGAGTCCAAAGGTAGTCTGCTGGCAGAATACCCTCTTCTTCAGAGGAGGTATATCTTTCCCTATTAAGGCCTTCAATTGATTGGAGGAAGCCCACCCACATTATGGAGGATAGTCTGCTTTACTCAAAGTCTACTAATTTAAATGTTAATCTGATCTAAAACATATCTTCACAGAAACACCTAGAAGAATGTTTGGCCAAACATCTGGGTTCCCTGGCCTAGGCAAGTTGACATATAAAATTAACCATCATACTGCCCCTTTCTAATTGATGTCCTAACACTTTTCAAATATTATTCCTCTTCCATTCTTCGACAGTGGTTTGTGTGTTTTATATATTTTACATAATTTTCCTACCTTTTTTGTTTCTAGGTGAGCAAATCCTAAGATCAGGGTCCACTCCATCATCTTACTAGGAAAAGTCTCTTAGCCATGCTCTGTTTCATAGGAAGAAGTCAGAAATATTTGTACATTAAAAATAACCACATATTTTTGTAGTTTAGCTATTTTTCATGAGCTTACAATAACAGCCCAGGCCCCTCTTCTTTATTTAAAATCTAATCTTATTTTCAAGTCTCCATTCCATCAAAATTTTATTATCATCTATGGCATAGAATGAGATTTTACATTGACTTCTGCCTTTATTCCCAATTCATCATTTTAGAACCACTTATGGAAAACTCCTTTCTGCCACATTAGCATTTTATATATATATATATTCCCAAATCTAATTACTACACATAATTTCAAAGACTATATACTTTAAAAGTTGGTTTATCTAATATTCCCCTATATCACACTGTTTCCAGCATTACTATTAAAGACTCATTTCATTTTCTAGTAGGGATAGTTATGCCAAGAATTCTTCTTCTATACTTTTACATTATTATAATGTATTATTCCTGATTAAATTCATATTTTATCTACCATGTAGAGCATAAACTTCACAAAAAATCACTGGCCCTTGAGGATGAACGAGTAACCAAATTGCAATGAATACAATATTCTGGGACAATATCTTCATACAATGGAAGAGTAAAAGTGGATCAAGGAATTTCTTTTCCCCAATATCTAAGGTAGAGAATAGGTGAGCACCAGCAAAAAATACAACAGCATGCACATGCACCAATAAAATAAAGACAAGGGATCAAGACAGATGTTTAATTCTGGAGTCAAAGCACGTTTTAAAACTTAATAGAATTCTAAAATATGAAACTTTAAAAATTGTCCATAATATGCAATTCAGGACTCTACATTGTATCTTGATTCTGCCACCAATTATGTATAATCTTGGGAAATTCACTTAACTTCTCTGAGCCTCAGTCCCCTTAAGTAAATATAGGGTAGAAATATTCATACAGTTGTATTAAACAAACTAAAACATTTTAAAGCACTTAAGAGTATTTGCCACTGAGCGAGGGCTCAAATATGGTTATTTTCTATTTTTTATATAGATATAAATATCAGAATACTGAACTCTCCCACCTCCTTTCAGTAACATGACAGTCTAAAAAACTGCATTCTAGGAAGTGTTCCTAGAAGACTGAAAAATAGTCACCCTTCAGATGGAAGATTAGTCTGAATTGTATATTCAGTCAGGAAAACGCAACTTGTAGAAATATCTGAAAGATAAGTTAATCTCCTAAAATGAAGTAAAATAGACCTGCACATAGTACCGATTTTCAAGTCCGATATCTGACATACTTCCCCCTTTCCTCCCTGTTTGTCTGGATCCCATTCTTCACTCCCATATCACGTTAGTTTCCGTCCTCTTCCTTTAGAAATCCCCAGTGTTCTCTCCTCTTCACTCCTCATTAACCTGCACTGCCTATTCATATAGCTGATTTCAGTCCTCTTGTGGGTTTTGTCCTTCAATTTCCCCTTAAGAGTACAAAGCCACTAATTAAAAGCAGAAGTTGAATGAAAGTTCTAGGTTTTTCAGAAACTCTTATATATAAAAAACCTCTTTTTATTTTCGTCTGATGAATATTTCCAGAAATGAGGGAATGCCCCTGTTACAACAATGTAACAGCAGCTGTAGGAAAATAAAAGGCAGGTTCCGTTTTACTTGGGGGCTGTTACAACATTAACAGAAGCAGGCAGCCACCTACTGGCCATGACAGAACAAGACAGCAGCCAGGTCTGTGGGGAGCAGGCTTTTCTGTTTATGCAGAAGTGTGTTCCTGGCAGGAGATTTTTCTTCAGAGCTAAAAAGAGGCTCTTTCCTGCCAGGAACTGACCCCAGTACTGAAATAAGCCCATTTCCTTAGGTTTTGTATCACACAGAGAGAAAATACTCCCAGCTTCAGGCAGGGCATATTCTCTAAGGGCAATGAACAGCTATGAGGAGAGAGAAAGAGACAGAATGTTTCCCTTGCCTCCAGCCTGCCCAACCTCCCAGGGCCTCCTGTCTAATCCCTCCCACTACGTATTCTGCTACACTAGGAATCAGTACAGCCTGCCAATCTGGGTGTAGAACTGCAAGAGAAACCAGGGAAAAAACCTTCTGTTTGAAGCTACATTAGCTCTTTCTTAAGACTAAGCTGCCAGTTTTACAAATTCCTTCCTATTATCAGATTCTGTCCCTTGACTTTATAATCAGGAGAAAATTCTTACTCTCACTTTGAATAATGAATGAGCTTGCATCAGTTCTACCTAGATTTAGTAGTTAGAGCACTAGCGTAAGTAAAGGAATTTCAGAGATTACAGTGATTGCCAGTTGACACCTGTGCACTATCTATTTGGGTAGAATTGAAATATACTGAGGTAACCTGCTCAAAATTGTAATTGAAGAAGTTCCTCAGGAAACGTGTGTAAATTGGCCCCATGTGAATTTCTCAGGCAGCAGGGTGGGGTTTCAATTTGGAAGGCATCTCTCAAATCTCTACCTCAGGTTAGAGACCCAACCATTAGATTGCTTCTATCCTATTGATGGGTTAGAGGACGCTAATTTACATGTTAAAGGGTTTTTGTCCCTTACCTTCCTTTCCTCCCCCACCACTTATGGGGAACCAGGACAGGAGCAGAAGCACACAGCCTGCCTGCCCTCCCTCCCTCCCTTCCTCTCTCTTCTTTTCTTTTCTTTTCTTTTTTTTCTTTCTTTCCTTTTCCTTCCTTCCTTCCTTCTTTCCTTCCTTCCTTCCTTTCCTTCTCTTTCTTTCTTTTTCTTTCTTTTCCTTCTCTTTCTTTCTTTTTCTTTCCCTTCCTTCCTTCCTTCCTTCCTTCCTTTGCTTTCTTCTCTCTTTTTCTTTTCTTTCTTTTCTTTCTTCTGTCCTTCTTTCGTAAACCTATCTCTGTCTTTGTAATTGTATAAAAACTTCAAATATTATGACCCCTTTAATTATTTCGTTGATTTTTTTATGTGCTTTTTTTTTTCCATTACCTTTTAGGGTGCAAATATTTCATGACTTGGCTCATTACTGGCACCTTGACCTGGAAATCTCAATAGCCATGTCTTGTTTTATATCTTGGAGATACTAATTTGTTATATATTCTACAGTATTGGGGAACTGAGCAGCAGATCTGGACCGACTGTGCAGGGGTGTCGAAGGCAGCGTGAGCGCTGAGCTGGCCGCCCCACCCACGTCCCACTGTGGACTTGATTTTACTTTTCTTACCCTCACCCCAGCCAAAGCACATCTAGTAGATCTAGAAGGGGTGTGGAGAGTAGGGATCAATGCGCCCGTGCCTAGGGAGACAGGGCGAGGGATTACTATGTAACAACAACTGGAGACAGCCATGTTTTTCAAGCCTCAGAAGCAAGGGTAGGAACTTGGCTTTGCTTCCAGTCTTCCTGCCAGGTGATTCATGAGCTGCAGAGGTCAACACCTATTGAAGCCCAATCCAGCACAACCGTGGTAAACGGAGACAACCCCTGTCCTTCTGAATGGAGGCACAGATGCAATTCTGCATTCTTACCAGCTCTTTGGGTGCAGAATCTCATCTGTGCCTCTATTCAGAAGCTTCCAAGTTCTAATTCCACTAGAAGAGACTGCAGAAGGGACAGGGCTCTCTCATTTTTTTTAGCAACCGAAAGTACACATCATGAAATTAAAGACAGACCTCGGGAGACTGAACAATTCCAACAGGAGCCCTAAGTCAACTGTTCAAATCGTTGTGATCAGGAGAGAAGACTGAAGTGAATGCTGACAGCACATGTTCTCTAACAGAGATGTGGCCAACATCAGTGTCCCCAGCATGGGTGACCTTGATGCTCTCTCAACTTGAAAGAATTGGAAGTGGCAAGAGTTACTCCAGTGCCAGCTGCAAACTTCTACTTCCTCCCTAGGGCCCAGCAAGTCATCCCAGTGCAGGAATCTCATGAATTTTGGTCATGATGGAGACTTTGTTCAAAACAAAACAAAATGAAACAATACCTTAACAGAGCAGAGATAGGCAGGTGTTTGAGTACATTTACTAGCAAGAGAGGGAGGGGACAGAGCCTTCCCATGAGGACAGGTATTATTAATGTCGACATTGCAAGATCACAATTTCTAATGAAGCAAAGACGTTTGCAAAAGTCAGCCTTGACTTGTTCCTGATCTTAAAGGAAAAGCTTTCTATTTTTCACCATTGACTACAATGTTAGCTGTGGGATTTTTATATATGGCCTTTATCATTTTGAGGCAATTTGCTTCTATTTCAACTTTATTGAGTGTTTTTATCATGAAAGGGGAATTTTGTCAAATGCTTTTCCTTCATCTGTTGAGATAATCATGCATTTTTTTCTTCATTAGTTAATGCAGTGTGATACATAGATTGATTTTTCATGTATTGAGCTTTGTACTCCAGAACTAAGTCCCACTTGGTCATAGTGTATAATCATTTTAATGTGCTATAGAATTTGGTTTGCTTGTGTTCTGTTGTGGATTTTTGCATCAATATTCAACAGGGATTTTAGTCTATGGTTTTCATTTCTTATAGTATCTTAGTCTGGCTTTGATTTCAGAGTAATGACAGCCTTATCAAATGATATTGGAAATCTGCCTTCCTCTTCAGTGTTTTGGAAGAAATTGAGAGGAATTAGTGATACTTTTTAAAATGGCAGGTAGAGTTCTGCAGTGAAGCCACATGATCATGGGCCTTTTTGTTGGTAGTGGTGGGTAAGTTTTTGTATATTAATTAAATCTCCTCACAAGTAATAAGTTGGTTCAAATGTTTTATTTCTACATGAATTAGTATGTTTCTAAGAATTAATCAATTTCTTCTAGGTTATATAATTTATTGGTGTTTAATTGTTTCTAGGACTCTTTTGTGAGCCTTAACGTTTTTGAGAGTTGACAACGTTCTAGCAGCCCTTGCTCTCAGCGCCTCAGCATCCACTCTGGTGGCACTTGAGAAGCCCTTCAGCCCGCCACTGCACTGTGGGAGCCCCTCTCTGGGCTGGCCGATGCCAGAGCCAGCTCCCTCTACTTGCCGGGAGGTGTGGAGGGAGAGACGTGGGCAGGAACCGAGGCTGCACAAAGTGCTCGCAGTCCAGCGCCAGTTCTGGTGGGCATGGGGAGCGGGGGTGGCGCGGGCTGCACTGCCAGCCCAGGGCAGTGAGGGGCTTAGCACCCTGGCTGGCAGCTGTGGAGGTTGCACCTGGTCCCCCAGCACTGCCAGCCGGCATGCACCCTGCTTGAATTCTAGCCGGGCCTCAGCTGCCTCCCCACTGGGCAGGGCTCAGGACCTGCAATCCGCCATGCCCCAGCCTCCCCCCACCACTGTGGACTCCTGTGCCGCCTGAGCCTCCCCGACCAGTACCGCTCCGTGTGCTGCAACGCCCAGTCCCATCGACCGCCCAAGGGCTGAGGAGTGCAGGCACGCAGCGCGGGACTGGCCGGCAGCTCTGCCTGCAGCCCTGGTGCAGGATCCACTGGGTGAAGCCAGCTGGGCTCCTGGATCTAGTGGGGACTTGGAGAACTTTTATGTCTGGCTAAGGGATTGTGGATGCATCAATCAGTACTCTGTGTCTAGCTCAAGGTTTGTAAATACACCAATCAGTACTCTGTATCTAGCTAACCTAGTGGGGACTTGGAGAACTTTTCTGTCTAGCACTCTGTGTCTAGCTAAAGGATTGTAAACGCACCAATCAGCACTCCGTGTCTAGCTCTGGGATTGTAAATGCACCAATCAGCACTCTGTCAAAATGGACCAATCAGCTCTCTGTAAAATAGACCAATCAGCTCGCTGTAAAATGGAACAATCAGCAGGATGTGGGTGGGGCCAGATAAAGGAATAAAAGCAAGCTGCTGGCTCCAACCAGCCCCAACCAGCTGGCCTCGTTTTGCACATTGTGGAAGGTTTATTCTTTTGCTCTTTAGGATAAATCTTGCTGCTGCTCACTCTTTGGGTCTACATTGCTTTTATGAGGTGTTAACACTCCTGAAGCCAGCCAGACCGCAAACCCACCAGGAAGAAGGAACAACTCCAGACGTGCTGCATTTAAGAGCTGTAAGACTCACTGCGAAGGTCTGCATCTTCACTCCTGTCAGTGAAACCACAAACCCACCACAAGGAAGAAGCTCCAGACACATCTAAATATCTGAAGGAACAAACTCCGGACACACCATCTTTAAGAACTCTAACACTCACTGCGAGAGTCCGTGGCTTCATTCTTGAAGTCACCGAGACAAAGAACCCACCAATTCTGGACACATTTTGTACCATCAGTTGTAATCTCTTTTCTTGAATTTCTAGTTTTTGTTATTTGAGTTGTCTCTTTTTTCATAATCTAGTTAAGGGTTTGTAAATTTTTTCAAAAATTTAACTCAATTTTGTTAATTTTTTTTCTGTTTTTCCATGCTCTATTTCATTAACTTTGCTCAGGTCTTTATTATTTCCTTCCTTCTCTTAGCTTTGGGTTTAGTTTGTTCTTTTTCTACTTAGAGTTTAAAGTTAGGTTGTTGATTGAATCTCTTCTATTTATGTTTTTATAGTTGTAAAAGTGTATGTAAAAGTGTATGCTTTTACAGCTGTAAATTTTCCACTTAGTACTGGTTTCCAAAATATTTGGAATGTTTTGTTTAAATTTTCATTTATCTTAATATATGTTTTAATTTCCTTTTTAAATTTGTGATCCTTGTATTTTTATCACATTTAGATATACATGTGTTTTCTTTCTGTTCCTGTGCATTGGGATGCAAAATCAGACCACTTTTACTTTCTAAAAAAAAAGTGGAATGAAGAAAGAAAGATCTGGTCTTTTGAATGCTATATGGAAACATTGTACATTTCATTTGTTTTGTCATGCTCACCTCCCTTCATTAATATAAAATTGAATATATAAAGGGAAAGAACCTGGGGTAGAAAAACAAATTTGCACAGTAAAACACCACATGAAGAGAGGTTATGCATAATTTCTCAATAGAATCTCAAGTGAACAAAGAAAAAAAATGCTGCTTTCCCAGTGTTGGATAGACTAAGAAAAATAGCTTGCTCAGAAATAATGAATATTCTCAGGATGTGATGATTAGAATGAACTCTAAAATCTAATAAAAATGATTGGATAAACTAGTAAAAGTTATCAATTTTTGCAAAATACATTTCTGAACAGAATACTCATCTATTAAAGAAACTTGTATGCCAATTTCAAAACTTAGCACATTTTAATTGTTTAATTATACGAAGAGTTTATTTTAATCATCAAAATAAGGGATAATAACATTTATTTGATTTATAAAAATCTGATTCTCCTGTGGAATTAGTGAGGTCTTCAAGGAGATAAGGCAGGCCCTATATGGCGGTACTATCAGTGTACCACAACTTGTTTGGCATTTTCTGTTTATTCTTAAACTCTCTCAAACTCCTAATAATTTGCCCATTTTATAATCACTTTTTTTTTTTTTTGCTCTTGAGATGTTTGAGTTCCTTGTGTATTCTGGATACTAATTCCCTGTTAGAATTAAATGGGATTAACTCCTGATCCCATATTAATCAAGCTACATTTTGTCACTTCAGAACAGAGGGTGTCACTAGAGATGTGAAACCTCAGGATTTTAAGGTGAGATGGTACTGTGAAAAGGATGAAAATAATATTGGTTTTGTAATTTAAATTCCCACACCCATTATACATGAGTATAACTTGGATTTGCACTCCGAATATTGGCACCAACTGAAAGAATCATACCT